TGATTTAACCAAAGATGCAAATTAATGAAGGAAACTTTTTGAAGCGTGTGAGAAAAGGTAAATGCGGAGCAACCTAAAAGATAATAATTGAAGGTAAAAAAATGTAAAATGTTCATATGGACGACGAAATTGACCCAATAATGTTCATGTTAGGTACTGCTAAAGTATTAATATGGTTAACATGCGTAAGGAGAAGGATATTATTTTTAATCAATTCCGTCTTTTATCCACACCCGAAAGAAAATATACTTAGATACGAATAAAGGATATGTAGTATAGTCCTCTGTTGGTTATCTAAATGCTCAAAAGGTCTAAGCCTTGCTCTCTTTACTACTGTATATCTTACAAAAATCTATCCTCTACATACGAAAACATTTATGTTTTGAGAATTTTGTTTGTCAAATGGAAAACATAATACTCTATGGAGAATACAAACGGGCTACTCAATTAGGTGCACAAAAAAAATCATTCCGGTTTATTGGTTAAGTTGTTGATTTAGGGATGGTTTAGTGATTAATAGGCTAATCGACACCTTTTTTATATAGGTTTTGAAAAAAATAGTTGTGGCTGAGTTCTCAAGAGAAAACTAAAAAAACAATTAATGAGTTGAGAAACTAGTAGACAGAAGTTGGCACAACTCAACACACAATATTAATGTCATGAGGTGAATAACAAATTATTGTAAGACGAAAATGCACCACAGTAACCGATATTACAAAGTTCGTAGGGTTAACTCTAGACTTGATAAAATTGACTCTATGAGCTAAATTTGTAAAATACATAGCACATAATGATAGATTAATAGAACAAAACCGATATTGTTTTTTAGGTAAACTAAGAGAGAAAATTGAAAACTGATTTCACATTTCTTTTTCATAGTAAAATAAAATAAAATTGGAACCTTTTGGAAAAATCAGCCTTCGAGAACAGGGTTGACAAATTCATATATACCAAATCGAATTTAATATTTGAGATTGGACAAATTAGCGTAACCGTCTCACCCTATCCAAGAATTTATTCCTTTCTCTCTCAAGTTTTCTCTAATATTGTTGACAAAAATTTCAACGACCATGTCGTATTTAGTCACAACTATGTTCCTACCTCCTACGGTACTAGTACCGTACTACTACCACATATACATACAAATATATATATATAGCTTCTAGTCTCCTGTGAAAGAGATAAAGAGAGAGAGAGAGAATTGTGTTGTTGCATAGTTCCAATAATGGCAAAGACGATTCAAGCCATCATCACTATCTGTTCCCTTCTTCTGCTTCTTCTACTCTCTGCAACAACTTCTCATCCTCTTTGCTCAGATTCAAGTAAGTGTTCATGTCTGTTTGAGTTTAAGTGTTCTTTGTGTTCCTGTCGTTTTGATTATTTTTTCGTTCTTTTGTCAGAGACTCCAGTTAACAACAACGAGACACTCCAGTTCTGCGATTCCTACAAAGGAAAATCTTGCTGCAATTCCAAAGATGATCTTCAATTACAGAATCGCTTCAACTCCATGAACATCTCTGACTCTAATTGTTCTTCTCTTCTCAAATCCATTCTTTGCTCTGTAAGTCTACTCAATTTCCTCAATAATTCGAAAAAACCCATTAAAAAAGAATCGATCTTTCACTTACCCATTTGCTCTGTTTGAAGCTAATTGATTCTCAATCTCTGAGTTTTGTTGCTTTATTTCCTCAGAAATGTGATCAATCCTCAGGACAATTGTTTGATGATGATAGTTCTCTAGTTCCAATTCTTTGCAACTCAACTTCACAAGACTTATGCTCAAAGCTTTGGGATTCATGTCAGAACATTTCCATTGTTTCTTCTCCTTTTAGTCCCACTCTACTAGGTGGTGCTACTTCACCTTCAACTTCCTCAAATTCATCAACATTAACCGATCTTTGGAAATCCCAAACCGAATTCTGTACCGCCTTTGGTGGACCATCTCAAACCAACAACAACAAAACCAAATGCTTTAATGGTGAACCGGTTAACAAAGACACCGATGTTAAGCCACCAAAAGGAGTATGTCTTGAGAAGATAGGAACCGGATCTTACTTAAACATGGTGGCTCATCCTGATGGTTCTAACCGGGCCTTTTTCTCTAACCAACCTGGTAAGATTTGGTTAGGAACAATACCGGATCAAGACTCAGGTGAACCGATGGAAATCGATGAATCGACTCCTTTTGTTGATATTACCGATCAAGTCAGTTTCGATACGCAGTTTGGTATGATGGGAATGGCGTTTCATCCTAAATTCGCAGAGAACGGGCGGTTTTTCGCGTCTTTTAACTGCGATAAAGTCAAATCTCCTGGATGTTCTGGTCGTTGTGCTTGCAATTCTGATGTAAATTGTGATCCTTCTAAGCTTCCTAAAGACGATGGCGCGCATCCTTGTCGTTATCAGACCGTCGTGGCTGAGTATACTGCAAATGGTACTTCCTCGAGCCCTTCAACGGTAAGTTCAAAACCAAAAGATTCAAGATTTGATAAAACCCAAAACATGAGTTTCTTGGAGATCAAGATTCTAACAGAGATTGTTGCTTTTATTGTGTAGGCAAAGATTGGTAAAGCCTCTGAAGTGAGGAGGATTTTCACTTTGGGACTTCCGTATTCGTCATCTCACGGTGGTCAGATTCTCTTTGGACCTGACGGGTATTTGTATCTCATGACTGGTGACGGAGGAGGAGTTTCAGATACTCACAACTTTGCACAGAACAAGAAGTCGTTACTTGGAAAAATCTTGAGGCTTGATGTTGATGTTATGCCAAGTTAAGTGACGAAATCGATAACCAAAACCCTGTATTTATGGAGTTTGCATTCAGTGTTTTAACTCTTATTTTTCTTCCATAAAACTCTGCAGGCGTATCTGAAATCTCAAAGCTTGGTTTGTGGGGAAACTACTCTATCCCAAAGAACAATCCTTTCCAAGGCAATGAAAATGAGCAGCCTGAGATTTGGGCTTTAGGTCTAAGAAATCCATGGCGCTGCAGCTTCGATTCCGAAAGACCAGATTACTTCTTGTGCGCTGATGTTGGAAAGGTTTGTGTTTTTTTCTTACGGTTCAAGCATCCAACTCTGTGATGATGCAGAGTTTCTCATGAAAAGATTGCTGTGTTTAAAACGTAACAGGATACATATGAAGAAGTAGATATCATAACAAAGGGTGGAAACTATGGCTGGAGAACTTATGAAGGACCTTATGTTTTCTCCCCATTATCGCCTTTTGGAGAAAATGTTTCCGCGGATTCAAACCTTACATTCCCGATTCTCGGTTACAACCACTCTGAAGTGAACAAACATGAAGGATCTGCTTCCATTATTGGAGGTTACTTCTATCGATCCAACACTGATCCTTGCTCTTATGGAACGTAAGTAAAAAGCTAAACCATAAACCCTAATTCCAAACCTTAAAACACTAAATCCTCAAACTTTTTGTTTTTTTGTTTCAGGTACTTGTATGCAGATCTTTATGCAAACGCAATGTGGGCAGCGATTGAATCACCAGAAGATAGTGGAAACTTCACAGACTCTCTAATACCGTTCAGTTGCAGTAAGGATTCGCCGATTAAGTGTACCGCGGCTCCAGGAGGAGCTAGCTCAGGACCTGCTCTTGGTTACATCTACTCTTTTGGACAAGACAATAACAAGGACATACATTTGCTCACGAGCTCTGGTGTGTATCGAGTTGTTCGTCCTAGTCGTTGTAACTTAGCTTGCTCCAAAGAAAACACTACCGCTTCTACCGGAAAACAGAACCCTGCTGGTGCTGCTCCTCCTCAGCCTTTACCTTCTTCTGCAAGAAAGCTCTGTTTCTCTTTGTTTTTGTTAGTGTCGTTGTTGTTTATGTTTTTAACGGTTTTAGATTAGAATGATAATTGTTTCAGACTCTGTTTTGTAACATGTCTTATGGATATTATTCAAAAACTATTTTGTGATTGCTTATATTAGACGAAATCATATATAATAAACCATTAAGTTTGAGTTCTTTTGTTTTGTTACGTCGCAGCAATGTGATCAATTTCTCAGACACAATCAGGGGCGGACCCACCAAGGAGGAAGGTGGGTCACTTGACAGACTAACTACTAGAGGTATGAGAATAGACCCCATTTGTCCTCGTTGTCGAACTTGCAATGAGTCGATCAACCATGCTCTGTTTACTTGCTCTGTTTCTTCCATGATTTGGCGTATATCAAATATTACTCTACCAATGCCTCAAATGTTCTCAGATGACATTGAGGAAAATTTTACAACGATCTTGAACCTACTTCAGTCTCATACTCTAACAGATGTTCAGAAGTTGCTTCCTTTTTGGCTACTTTGGAAAGTGTGGAGATCTAGAAACAACTTGGTTTTTAATAATTTTAGAGAGAGTCCAACAACTATAGTTCTAAAAGCGCAGGCTGAAACAAAAGAGTGGCTAGAAGCTACAAGAAAGCAGAGTCGAAGATCAAGGTCGTTACCTTTACGTCACGTTGACGTAGGTCACTGGCAAGCTCCGGAACGAGACTATGTCAAATGTAATTTTGATGCAGGGCTCAATCTACAGAATCTAGTATCTACAAGGTACGGGAGGATGGATTGTTCGCGATCACAAGGGTTTCCCAAAAGTGTGGGGATCACTGGTTTTGGGTTTTTCGGGTTCACCATTAGAGGTGGAAACAAAGGCTCTTCTAACAGCACTACAACATGTATGGATCAGGGGTTTCACTGACGTAATGTTCGAGGGAGACTGCGAAATTCTAATTAACTTGCTTAATGGGACTACGCATAACTCCTCAATCGCTAATCTTATTTTAGATATACGGGTTTGGGCCAAAGTTTGAAAGCGTCAGTTTCGTTTTGTTAGACGAGAGAGTAATCAGGTGGCTCATGCTCTTGCACGATTTGGTTGTATCCCATCTTCTTCTTACGTTGATTCATGTATCCAGCCAGAATGGCTTAAATCATACATTTGTAATGACATTTCAAAGTTAATATAAGCAATTTCTGACGGAAAAAAAAAAACAAAAAAATATTTAAAACATCCATAAAATAAATGGTTTCATTGTACTATTATACTATTATTGAAGTAAACAACAATTAAATGTTGTTGACAAAAAAAAAAAAAATTAAATGTTGATAATCTTAAAGATTGAAAGAAAAAAAGAAATATGGAATTCAAGTTTCCAAGTGCATAATGCTTTCACTCTTATCCATAAGAGTGAAATAAAAAGTTAAGTTTGTGTCAAGCTTACTAACCAGTGTTTCGGTATCCCTCTAATCCAAACCTTTTTCATATCATTCTTTTGGAGGTCATAATAAAGAATGTAATAAGGGGATATCAACAATAAGGGTACCAAGATAACCTCGCCGTTTTGAGTTGTACCTTGCACCATCAATGGAATGTTGTTATCTACTAAGTGCATCTGACAAGGCTGCAAAACGAGAGATTTCCTCGACCATTTTCCAGCATCTTCCAAAACCCATAAGTCCACTAAACCTGTTTGTTCCAAAATGGTATGATCAACAACAGCTGGTTTTCCACCATACTCTATAAATCCCACAGACTCACCATACGCAGGCACCACAGGAGGCCCTTGGATCATACTGAACTCTTCAGACCGAACATCAAAACTGACAACGATATCGCGACGCTTACAAGTGGAAGCCAAATAATATATAACTCCCTTGATGCACAATCCTAGTCTCGTAGGGATATGAGGTTGATCGAACTCAATTCTTTTCCACGAACCTCCAGGTTCTAGTACGAAGACCCAATGCTCTGAGGTTATCCTCTTAACTTTTTTTGAGGATACTGCAACAGTGCAAACTACTTTGTATTGATCAAGAACAGGATCGTGTCCGAAAAAGTAGAGGACACTCTTATTGTAGTATTCGTGAGCAAAGATGTTGGATTTGACAGCAGGTAAGGTTACACTTTGTGTGGTGGTGGGATTATAGATACACGCCTTTCTACAAACATTGTATAGAATCAAGCCGCGAAGAACCACCATGTTGCGTCCTCCCATCCCTGCAAGTGTCAAATCTTGTTCCAAAGACTCAGCACTGCTACTAGAAGATGACAGCAATACAGACTCACGGGGGTGGTTGTGGCAAACCTCCATTGAATTACACACGAGGTGGTCCACCAAACTCATGTATAGACGAGGTGGTCGCAGTGGGGATGCGACCGTAAGATAACGATTGCTAAAAAATCGGGAACAGATAAGAGAAGACCATAGCTTTGAGATGCACTTGAACCTCAAAAGCGATTTAGCAGGCAATCTAGTCAGAATCTCGATCAGTAGATCCAAAGGAATCTCCGGTGCCACAAAAAAATATTCTCCTCTTTGTCTTCTTCTTCTTCCTCTTCTTATCGTCTTTGACGACCTCTTCTTCCATTGCATAGACGCAATCAGAGCTAGAGACATAACCATAGCTACTAATTCACAAGCGCCCCTACAAACTTATACATATAAAAATCTATATAAAAGAAGGGGATCCCATAGAAGAAGCTAGAAGAAACATTGAAATTTTTTACCTTTTTTCAGATCTGCGTAAGAGAAACAGAGGAAGACGAGCAGAGTGAGGTCACGCACTTATTATTTCTAGGGTTTGAAAACTTGGCATATTTCTTCTTTAACTTTATTATTACTCCAGCAACGGCGTCGTTTGCATTTTGCTCTTACCTAGGAGAAAATAGCCAAACCTTTGGGCTGCAAATTATTGGGCCTCCATCAGGATATGGACGATTTTCTGTTTCCATATGGATCAAGTTTGGAGCACCTAGACCACCAGTCCCAGTAAGGTCACACATACTAAAGACCTGGCCGACGAAGGCCGGTCCACCGCGTTTCCCATCGGAGATGAGAGATGAAATCCTAACCGTTGAATTAAGGCCGGAGGATGATGTGAACTTCTTTCAAAAGAATCGACCAAATAAGGTAACTTTGGCTGGATCGCCGTGGCTTTTCGAAACCATCTACCACCTCGAAGTACTCTGACAACGACATATATGAGCTGAATCTTCTTTGAAGCCTTTGCCACAACGCTCATAGGAATTCCAGAACTGCCAATCTCATCAATGGCTTCTTGAACCTGCGGTTTGATTAACACGAGAGGATGAAAAACCCAGCACCATCCACAAGAAACACCATAGTTATCAGCTAAAAGTTATGAGACACCATAGTTATCTCCACATGGGGAATTTCTACACAGAGGCACAAGAAAGATGGTAGGACTAGCAATGTTATTTACAATTCCTGCCAAATTACAATTGTTTTGCATCAGTGAAACTCACCACTTAATTCCATCTGCAGTTGCAACTGAAAACAGGACGCCCTCCACCTTTTGTTTATTACCATTCTGTGGCATTGACTTGAGAAGTTTGTTGGCAGCCTTCACCTGCGAACCAGAAATCATTTCAGTTAGAAGTAAGTTGATAAAGGGAGCAAAGAAATGCAAGTCACACTGACATGATTTTACCTGTCTCTCATTTGGAACAAACTGAAATAAGTGAGGCTTCTCCTGAGGAAAATGAAACATATTAAATTCAGTCTCCCGTGCAAATCAAATGTAGTATATAACGACATACTAGTTCCAGTCGAGGCACACCTTGAAATGCTCATATGCCAAATCAAGTCGACAAGCCCCAACCACTCCACTTGGAATATTTAGTTTTTTAACATATGAAACTGAGAAAACAAACATCATGTCAGGAAAAGATCCAAACCCAAAAATATTGCTAACACAACATGGTCTGGAGTTGTAAGCTCTAGAGGTTCAGAATCTCCATTGCCATTCATTTTAGATTATTTCAACCTTATCCAGATCAGAAGGCTCTTAAAGAACATGCGAGCAAGTATTAGCTAGACTATGTTACTGAGAAATGCTAAAAAAAAGCTTACAAAGAGAACTGTCTAAGCACCTGCATCGCCAAGATCCATGAAAAAACGAAACCACAGGGCCATTCTTCTCGCTCTAAGTAATAGTCGAAAACATTTTCTTTAGCCACCCAGGTGTCCTGTATATACACGTCAAAACAAACTTGAGGATGAAACTGAAGAAAACACAGAAAATCACACAAAATGTATGCATTTTATCTATGCCTAAATCACACCTCACTTGTAGAAATCCAAAATATACAGTTGAAAAAGTCAGAACTAGACCAGTGTTGAGATTAGAAATCTGATACAATCTAAGAAACCAACAGTACATACACCTAGAAAACCAAAGATAATCCATGGAAGTGGAACCATGGTATGGTATAAGAAGAAACAAGCTAAGCTCATGGAAACTGAATAAAACTTGAAATTCGAAGAGTGGGAAATAAAGGAAGAAGAGTAATAATAAACCTCTTGGGGATGAAAGCAATATCAAAGCGAGTAGAAACAGCCATCAGACCAGTCCCAGTAAGCTTCCATTTCCAATACACTCACTCGTTGACTATTGTTCTCCAATTTCAACTTGACAATCTTGAAGTCAACTTGTGTTGGTGCAGTGCATTGATAAGTCTTCTACTGGCCATTTCCTGGAAGAACAGATAATGTAATATTAACTTTTGGATTCATATGCGACAAAAAGCGGATACCAATGATTCTTTAAGCCAAAAGATTGTAACTTTTTACCTCATATGTAACAGCCCATTAACCCTGGCGGAGCTGTTTGTGATAATAATTGATATTGCCAATGTATAGACTTCTATCCACAGGTGGTCTCTTCGCTTCACTAAGAACCGCATCAATTTGTACAAATGTGTCATCATCACACTTCATGGTGAATTTAGCAGCAAGTTGATGAGCCTGCAAAACAAAGAGTAGAGTAACTCTTTACCTAAATTCAATAATTGAAAACACAGCATCAAGTGTTGAATCTTAGAATCTTAAGATGGAGCTGGTGATGAAAACACAGCATCAAGTGTTGAAAACACAGCATCAAGTGTTGATGAGCCTGCAAAACAAAGAGTAGAGTAACTCTTTACCTAAATTCAATAATTGAAAACACAGCATCAAGTCAAACACGATCGATTTAGGTGAGTTAACTATACTAATCTAATTTAACAAATTCATTGTATCACATTAACATTGTTTGTCAACTAATTTAGCTATGCACATATGGGATTCTAACTAAGAAAAATATTGACCTACAATTCATTTAAGAAATTGAAATGGTTACGTATAAAACGTGTTACATGTGTCGGTCGTGGCCTCGCAAAGAAGAAGAAGACTCGATACAACACAATGACACATTCTCGATGTCCGCAAGCAAACGGATTCATAGGGTAATTTCGTCATTTCGGCTTCTACCTAAACGGATTCAAAGGTTAATTCAAACGGTTCCTTTTTCCATTTCTGTGATTATTCCCCTATTCTATTCGTAGCTATAAATATGTACTTGGAGCTCAAGAAACAAAACTAATTCAAAAGCTTTAAGATTTTTCAAGTTTGTATCAAAAGTTCCTATTTTTCAAAGTTGAAGCGTTTTTTGATGATTCAGAGCAAGAATGATCAACGATCTCTGAATCTGGAAGCTGCGATTCTTATTCTGCTGGCCGTCGTCTTTTGCTGACGAACTCGGGGTTATGGAATTGCTTGAAGGAGAGATAAAGCTCATGATTTGATCTATCGTAATTGTAAATCTGGTCTCGGTGATCAATGTCAGATTCTCTCCGTTCTTAGAAAACGGATTCAGGACCATTGGATCTGGTGCGAAGCTCATGACTTTTCAGATTTTTCAAGAGCACAAGACCCCCCAAAATCTGTGACATGGATGCAACCAAAACTTCACGGTCTTAAAATCTCAACGATATCAATATCTCTCTCGAGTAAACGGTTGAGATACTCAAGACAATCCTAGCAAAGTCCCCCTCGTGAGGTTGCGATGCGTCATCATTGACTAGATCGTGCCTCGTTCTTTGAATAACCTGCAAGGCTCCAACGTTCCCACTTCACCATTGGTTTAGTGACAACCATGTCTTATTCTTCTCGCCTACACAAAGAAACAAAAACTCGCACCTTAAGTAATAATCCCTTTCGAAAGTGTTGAGTATCGATAAGTCTGCGGCTTACAATGCTGTTCGGTGATCATAAGACGTCATTTGGTCACAATGTATAATCCTACCCTCAGACAATACTTTCATTTACCTGAGGTCAAATCTCCGACCTGGCCATAAGATATACTTATAATTAAGGACCTGTTGAATTCAAGGCATTGAGAATCGATATTTAAAGAAACATGGACATGTTGAGCCACTGACTCTTCAAAAATGTTATTCTAGTACCGGTTTATCAAAGAAACATGGGCTATAGGGTAAACTTCTTTAGGTAGATAACTTCTTTACATACTAAAAGCACTTCCAGAGATTTTTTTACACAATTGATGAATGCTTAAAGGAAAAACAAAAAAACAGAAATATATATATATATATATATATATATATATATATATATATTCATTTCTACTTGAAACAAAAGCTTATATATATCCACAAGGGTTCTAAAACTTGTTCTTGATTTGATATACAGAACATGTAACCTCTGCGATTAAATCCAATCTTACTTGATGATTTTAAAATAAAATTGAAGAACACATATTAAACGATTGTTTGTTGCCTAAAATTAAAATAACAAAATAAAATAGTTGCATTGTATTATTAAAGGCGAAAAATAATAAGATAATATGATAATCTTAGCTTGGAATGAGAAGAAAAGAAATAACAAAAAAACAAGTAATGGTATTCAAGTTTCCAAGTGGATGATGCTTTCACTGTTATCCATAAGTTTGAAACCAAAGTCCGGTATTCCTTTGATCCCAACCTTCTTATGGTCCGGCATTCCTTTGATTTCAACCTTCCTCAAATCATTCTTCAGTATATCATAATAGAGAATGTAAAAGGGGAACACAACTCACTTGGTACCAAGATAACCTCGCCGTTTTGAGTTGTATCTTCTACCGTCAATAGAATGTCGTTATCAACTAAAGCAGCTGAGAAGGCTGCAAACTCAAAGCTTTCCTCGACCAGTTTCCAGCATTTTCCAAGACCCATAAGTCCACCAAACCGTTTTCTTTAAGACTAGTATGATAAAAAATAGCTGGTTTCCCACCATACTCTATAAAACCCAGAGAGCCAACATATGCAGACACCACAAGAGGCGCTTGGATTATGTTAAATTCTTCAGATCTAACGTCAAAGCTGACAACGATATCCTCAAACATACTAGTGAAAGCAAGATAATATATAACTCCACCGATGCACAGTCCAGGTCTTGTAGATATATGAGGTTGATCAAACTCTATTCTTTTCCAAGAATCTCCAACTTCTAGTACAAAGACCCAATGCTCCAAGTTTATCATGTCCAAATCTTGTGAAGATGATGACACAAAATTACAAACTACTTTGTATTGATCAAGAACAGGATCGTGTCCCAAGAAGTAGAGGACACTATGATCATTTCCTTGAACAAAGATGTTGAATTTGATGGCGGGTAAGGTTACGCTTTGTAATCTATACAATCGAAGTTGTATGGTACATAATATGCATCACCATGCACGCCAAAAACGATGGTTCAAGAGGAGTAATTAATAAGATCTAAATTGTTTCAATCCTAATTTTTGTTTTTTAAATTGTGCACTTAAATGGGACAAAACAAATTCATTAAAACAAAAAATAAGTCACATTTAAAATGGAAAATATTTTCAA